AAAAAACTTTTTTTTTTTTTTTTTTTTTTTTCCTTTTTGTCTTTTTTCGTGACCGGCAACGGATCGCAACCCTCAGTGTCGCGCCCGCACCGGACCAGGACCGGCAATGGGATCGCAACCCTCGGTGTTGCTCCCGCACCTCGCTCAGCCAGTGAGCGGCCGGTCTGCATGCGGGATCCGAACCCTTGGCGGGAGCGCCGCCGTGCTTCCCAAGCGGCGCACTGTAACAGTGCGCCACCGGGCCAGCCCGGCCCCCCCCCTTTTTTTTAATGGCAAATGCTAAAGTGAATATGAAACAGAAAAATGTGGGAATTTCTGGTTAAGCTTTTGCCTTATGTACCAAAATGTGTGTTCTTCTAAATAATTACATAAAATGAAATAAATTAGTAAGCTGATACTTTTCCATGGAAATTTTTATAGTAATCATTTGAAAATTTGCTTTAATGTTGCTTTTAAAGACAGTTAAAGAATATATACTACCATCAAAAACCCATGTTGATCAAAATTTTTAAATTTATGTCTAATAAAACCTGATTGACAGTTTAGATATTGCATGATATATCAAAATGAGTTCAATAAAAAATTCATAATCACATAGCTTGAAAACATTCTAGTATCTTCTGTTTTTAGATATGGCTCTTGCACTACAGCTTAGAGTTCTTCAGACTGCTATGGAATTTATAAGGACCACCACAGATCACGACTCTGAAAACCTTACAGATCCATTCTGGTCACCTTCTGTTCCCCATTATGCAGTGATTCAGAAGCGGAAAAGCATTGCTGGTGAGTATCGAGGTAATATTTTAATAATTATAAGTTGAAGGTAGCTAGACTTTCCTCTGTTCTAATGACATTCACATTTTTTAAATATTTCTTAGCTTAAAAAGTTAACCTGTAAAATTTGAGAAAGTATTTCTCCTAGAGGAAAGTATTCTGCTGCTTTCTTTTCAGTGCTGTTCTCATTTAATTATTTCTTGAGCACCTAACATGTGCCAAGCACAGTGTTAAATATTGGAGCTACAATGATGACAGAAATACAGAGTCTTTTCTTGCAGAGATTATAAAATAGTAGGGAAATGTATAGATTAGGAATAGAAATTATAGCAGGGCAGCCAGATTTACATCAGGAGTTAGGGAGATTTCTGAGGAAGTAAGATTTCAATATGGACATAAAGGATAAAAAGGGGGTTAGCAAGGTCAGGAGTCAGAGGAAGAGTGTTAACAGGTAGAGTGGTCGGTTTACGTGGAGGTCCTGTGGCAGGGAAAGCTGTGCTTGTGCAAAGCTGAGTGAACGTGGCACTTGATGAGAGTGACCCAGACAAGGTTGTGCAGTGTGGCATGGTCCAGTTCATAAATAACAACACAGGCCACATTAAGGAAGTTAGATTTTATCTAATGGGAAGTCATCAAAGGTTTTAGGTAGGTGGCATGATATAACCAGATTTTCATTTTGTGAAGATCACTCTGTCTTCTGTGTAGAAGGTAGATTAGAGGAGAGCAAGAGAAGTAGTGGGAGCCCAGGTGGGAGGCCACTGCAGCAGTCCAAGCAGAGAGTGGTTGTGTGGATATGGTTAGAATGCACCGGACATCAGGGCCTGCTGTAAAGTAGTACATATCACCAAATAGTAAGTATTTATATTGTAAGACTTCCTTACTTTTTCCACAAAATCTGCTATGACCTTTATATAAGCACAACCCAGAAAGATAACATAAACAACACACATACAGGATACATACATACATACACACACACATATACATATAGGATACACACACACACACACACACACACACGTACCTGTATGGATACAGAGTTTTCTCTCTTGTATTGATGTAATAGATTTTTACATTTATTCCCATTCAGTTTCGTCTTATTAACTTCAGACCAGTCTTTTAGTCAGTGTTTTGTGGGGTCTATAGGCTTGGCAAAAGAAAACACTCAAACTCCAGTGAATACCACAAACAGTTATTTGCTTTAAGTTGATAAAATGAAAAGCTGTGCTGGTTTTAAATTTTGTCTCAAGTTGCCTCCTTCCTCCATCCCATGCCCACCTCCCCCTTCAGTGCTTTGGTCTCAGGCCCAGTGGAGAATGTCTGCAACTAGACTCTTTTTAGGAAGGACTCCACTCTCATCCTCCACATACTACCATTCAGTAATAGCTCGGGTCTGTCTTGGCTAAGCCAAGGGAACATCTTCTAGCTTCACTGAGAAAACCTTTGCTGCCTAGCAAGATGTCACCTACTTGTACTGTAGCATTGTCTGGCAGGATTGGCCCACTGTCTTCTAAAGAAAACAGAAAGCAATGTCCCCTTCCCCCCAATCTCTTTTGTCCCCACAATCCAGCTCTGGAAAATATCTGAAGGCCACAGAAGTGGGTGTGCCCTTTGATGTTTATATTGGCTGGCTCCTTTTCCTTTTTCCTTTTTTTTTTTTTTTTTTTAATAATCAGGGTAGTAGAAGATGTGGAGAATTAACCTCATGACAGCAGCAGAGGAATTCATTAAAGAAACTAAGATGAATTCTCATATTTCAAGCTCTCAGGCAGGAGTCACAAAGGAGTAATTGTCTTCTAGTTATTTTTAATCATTTCTTTTGTGGCACCTTCCTTGTCCGTGATACGAATCTCAGTGTCTGGCATAGGAGAGCCTGAGAACACAGGCTGTCCAAATAATGGCTTTGATTTGGGGATTACTACAGCAATATTAACCTCTTCCTTCTAGCCTCCCTTTGATAAAGTGGGGAGGGCAATGACCAGTGCTATGTGATTGCTTTTATTTAAAATGTTAGCCATTAAAAATTTGTTTTAAAATTGGAAAAAATGTGCATAAAGTGTTACTATGAAAAATTCTCAAATGGACCAAAAAATGCCGAGGAACAAAATTTTTCAAGTGTGTTCTCTTCCAACTTAATATCCTTAGAGACACTTCCTTTCATGAACCTCAAAGGCAGCTTCAGTGATGGCTTGCCCATGACTCAGTTAATTTATGCATAAAATTTTACTTGAAGGAACTTGGTAAAATAAAACAATGATTTTTCTTTATAAATGTATAAAGGCAGCAGCTGGTCTCCCATAAGTTACTGGTAGTATTAAGATTTCACTCCCAGAGTTCAAAGTAGTCCTGACTGCTTTACTTAAGTAGTAGAGTGTCATTGTTATTCTAATTCCTTGTGAAACTTTTTTTAAGCCCAGTCATATTAGAAAGTTCTATCTTGAAACTATTTAAGAGAAAAATCTTTTCTCGAGCACTTTTGTATACTTTAAAAGTTCATATTCATATATAATCAATTGATCTTATGAGTCATTAACATGTATTTGTTAAAGCAAGTTCTATAAAGCCCCTTCTCAGTTATACTTTTTAGCATAGTTCTAGGTAAATGTATGTACCTGAAAGCAATGAAAAGGATAGTTCTTGAATCTTTGTGATGTTTCCGGAAAGAGAATTAATTAACCTGAAGTACTCATGCATATAATTAATTTTGAAATCATTTAGTTTTAAAGTTAAGTAACCGAGTCAACTTGTGCTTTTATCAGACATTTAGAGTCTAACAGATACAGATCTAGTATCACAAAAAGTTTCACAGGGAATACTCTTCTCATGGCTCACATTAGGGCATAGGCTGTAGAACTCACTCAGAGACTCAGAACAGACTGTTGGCAATCAAGTCACCTTTTCATGCCATGTTTCTCCTAACTGCCAAGTGGATGGCACCTGTCACCTGCTTGTAAATGAGAAAAAATATATCGGCCTTTTTGTATCAGTGATAGGCAGGAAGGAGTGATTACTATGTCCTATAGAGGTTATAGGGAAGGCTCCATGGGAAAGGGAAGACTTGAGCAAGGCCTGGAAGAATGCATAGGATGTTAGTCATTCAAAGGCCATTTTTTTTTTTTCCTTTTTTTTGTCTTTTTCATGACCGGCAACGGATCGCAACCCTCAGTGTCGTGCCCGTACCGGGACCAGCAACGGGATCGCAACCCTCGGTGTTGCGCCCGTACCTCGCTCAGCCAGTGAGCGGCCGGTCTGTATGTGGGATCCGAACCCTCGGCGGGAGTGCCACCAAGCGGCGCACTGTAGCAGTGCACCACCGGGCTGGCCCTCAAAGGCCATTTTTTGAGGACTTCTGATACAAAGATATTTAAGATATGTTGCCTGCTTCTGATTTAGATTAGCATAGGGGAGGCATAAAGACAATGTGAGAAAGGGAGTAAAAGCATGAGAGGGGAAAAGCTCATAGTGTGTTTTGTATACGTTAAGTAGAGGAAGATGTGATTCAATTTAATTTTTTAAAAAACAGTCATTTATCCTAAGGAAACCATTAATAGATTAGCACAAATATGTATGTATAAATATTTTTGTTTGTGCTATTTATAAGAATGAAAAATTGAAAAAAATCCTAGATAATTGATTAAGTCAGATTACAAGTATACAACATAATGTTCTATAGCTATTACAAATTGTGTTGTATAAAAATACTTATTGAAATGGGGAAATACTCATGATATAAGGAAGAATGAAAAAAGTAGGTTGTAAAACAATGTATAGTATGATCCTCATTTTATAAAATATATTTATGACAAGGAAAAAAACAGGGAGGATACACAACAGTTGGTAGTAGTGGTGCTACATATACTGAGACCATGAGTTATTTTGATTTTCTTCTTTGGGCTCTTTGGTGTTTCAACTTTTTTCTACAATGAAAATGCAATTTTTTTTTTAAGTTTTGCTAAGAATTTAGAAACTTATTGATCGATTGCTTAACTTATGTTAGGTAACAGAGTTCATTGTGAAAATTTGAGTATATAAGTGACAGAATGAAAATAATATTGTTGAGAGACAAATGTGATAAATATGTGCATGGTGTTTTAGAATAGAGAAAGCCTAGTTTAGGAATGATGAATCTGCAGATTGTAGCAATAATTTATTGTAAAATGATAGATGTTTGAAATTAGATGGTGGTAATAGAAATGCAAAAGAAGGGGTAGATGTGATGCATTATGAAGGATGTGTAGACAATATATGGTAAAATGGCTCTGAGAGGTAAGAGAGAAGAGTTGCAAGGACAAGTATAATAGTTCAGCCTACTTGAAAGAATAAAGCCAATAAAAGATAGAGACAGCTTGCTTTGGGACTATGAGAAAAGGTTTCAATCTAGGCTTTTTTGTTTGGTTGTTTTTTTGTTTTTTATTTGGAAGTACAGAAAAATTGCAAGAATAGAAATAGTACACAGAACACTTGAATACCTTTACCCATATTTATCTATGGCTAATATTTTACCACATTTGCTTTATCATTTGTTCTGTTTACCTACCTATCTACCTACTTATCTATCATCTACCTACACATACATATAAATTATATATATATATATATATATATGTATGTACATAACACACATAATATTTGTCTAGCCCATTTGAGGGTAAATTACATTTATCTTGATTTTTTTACACCCAATCACTTCAGTGTGTATTTCCAAGAAAAGGGATATTCTCTTACATAAATAGCAGGGTTATCAACCTCAGTAAATTTGATTAAATACTTTTATTTAATCTACCATTTATATTCCAGTAGTGTCTTTCATAGCATTTCTTTTTTCCAGCACAAGATCAGTCTAGGATTAGGTATTTCAATTAATTATCATATTTAATTGTCATGTTCCTTTAGTCTCTTTTAATCTGGAACATATTTGTAGCCTCTCTTTATCTTTTATGACTTTGAGGAATTCAGTCTTCTCCCTCACTTTAAAAAAATTTGTCTGATATTTCCTTATGATTAGGTTC